AATATAAGCACTCAGTATGCTCACTAGATAATGAAACAGTAAATTTTAGAGAGTTTTAAGTAAGTATATACAATCTCATGTCATGAAAAGTGGACTTACTTCTCACGATTTGCAGCAGCTTTATTTCTAACTTCTTGTATCTTATCTTTATTATTCAAAAGAGACACGATGTTTTCTGCCTTCTTCCTCACATTGACTCCCTGATCCTTCCCACTTGGCTCAACATATTCAAAACTTGCGAGAGACTTCACCAATTAAAAAGAAAGGAGAAAAGAAAATCTGAGAACTAAGCTTTCCATCATTACAGGGTCTGGATAAGCGAATATAGCAGAAGATAGAATACAAACTGAGATCTGGAAAGTATGTTCTATTATGTCATCAACTGCACGTTCTGATCCATGGGCCACCAAATACTCAATGACAGCCAATGCCTGGTAAGATAAGGTTTATACATGAGGACTGAAAAGCCAAAAATGCATAAAAGTGCAAATTTATCAGAAGGAAAAAACTTTTGATTGCAATATCAGACCATTAATGAATGGATGAAGCAAGAAAAATTGAGGTACCTTGTAGACATAACGCCAAGTACGGCCAGTTTCACTCAATCTTACCCAAAGGACATTCATAACCATCTGACATTCAGAGCTGGAGAATACCTCAACAGATCAGCCATGGCAAATAAAGACAAATTATCTTTCTTGGACAAAAGGATACTGCGGAGAAAAGTAGGAATAAGACATGATTCAATTATTAGAACAATAACTTACAACTTTTTGGTGGCCTGGGCTATTTCTGCCAATGCAGTACCATGCGGACCCCAAGGTTCATCATCTGTCGCATCCAATACCTGGATTAATTCATAAACAAGCCTCTACTGTCATTTTCTTCCCACGCAACCAACTGAAACAAAAACAAAAAAACAAAAAACAAGAAAAGGATCGAATGATGCATTTTCCCCAGCTCTAGACCTAGCATTCATGTGGAAGAAGAAAATACAGAACAACCTGCCCCATAAATGCATTTTTTCTTTGCCCATGCTAGGACATTCCCTTATTTCCTAAAAGCTGGATCTATGTCTTCCCATGATACTCAAGGAACAGGGCATGTATCCATGGGGTTCAACTAATACATCATAAAGCAGGTCCAAGTTTTGGGTTATTCCATTTTTTTTATCATTTCTAGCCGAAGAATTCAGGTGGACAAAAATTAGATAATGACTCATAATCCGCCCATATTGCCAAGGTAAATAGGAAGGTACTATCCTTGCATAGGGAAAGAAGAAACACATGTACCAAGGACTACCAGTGTTCAAAATATTGGTCAATACCGATATGAGTCACATCTGACCTAGCACCTTCCAAGTCAATATCGTTATTCGTTATGTATAAACTCTGAGTCCCGCACAGCTGAGTCATCTTCGATTTAATCTAAGTCGTTGGGAATCAGTCTATACTATTTCACGACACCGTGATATGGCCTAAATCTCTCACCATATTCAACTTCTTCTTTTAGGTCGTATCAACTAATACAATAATACGACACTGTGATTAATGTGTCCCATAGCCCTCTGAGTCGCTAGCCAATACAAAGCAAAGTTGAATCAAGACACAACTATGGTGCAGTAAAATAAGGATACATAAACTAAGGACTACAAAATTCAAAAATGAGATTTGATTTTAGAACAGATACACAATAGATGGAAAAGATCAACAAGCTTACAAAGCATCACACATCATTAATAAACTAGTTTTTCAAAAATTACATAGTTTCAGACTTTCAGTCTGCTAATTTCATGCTCAACAAATGGACTATGCAGATATCATACATCTAAAAAAGGGGGTCCAGTGCATGAGGCTCCCGCTATAGCAAGTTCATAGGAGGGATAGATGTACACAGCTATACCACACAGCGGAGAGGTTGTTTCCACAACTCAAACCCTTGATGTCTATGCCACAATGAAGCCCTCTTACTACTACCCCAAGGCCCATTCTAAGCAACTATAGGTCTCTGGCCCCTAAAAAAAAAAAAAAACCGTTATGTATCTCCTGTCAACTGTTGTAAAATAATGAGTTTTTCATATTGAGCAAAAAAATCAATTTATCAACTTCTGAGTAAACTACAGCTCATTTTGGAGTTAAATTCTTAGTGCAAAAACCAAACTTCATGTCAAATAATACAAGGATAAAGTTTGAACTTCACTTAGGCTTCAATAATACATGATTAAATTAACACAGTTTCAAATAGGAATGTCTCATTTCCTTAGCGTAAATTATTCATGGCAGGATTCATTCGACTTTATAATACTAATTCTAGCACAACCTCAAAGTAGTCATACTTAATAGGTTTGAACTCTACAATGGAAGAAAAGTGTATATCCTTTTCTGTTACGAATATCATTCTTTCCTCTCCTTCTAAAATTTTATTTTTTTGCCAACTTTATTTATTTATTTCTTGTTTTTGCAAGAAGGGGATAATTGAATGCAGAGTGTACAATCTATGCAAAAATCAAGTTCGAAATTGCACAAGCCCCACAGGCCCCCACTAACGACTATTACTTTGACATTTGACAATCCAAATGTGCGCGAGAACAAAAAAATAGTTACTTCAGGTTAGAAATTGTACTTCTATTGTTGTGATATAATCGAATGATCAGAGGTGAAGTCATAAAGGCAACTATAAATTCCATCAATCAAGGGCCTTTTGAAACAAAATTCTAGATTGTATTCTTCGTAATTTGTTTCACATCATCTTCTTTGACTTTTACTTCTTTCAAAGATGCAAGTTAAATGCACTGTTCTAGGAAATCAAGTTCTACTTGCATTGGCTTTAAAGTCCGAGATGGAATTCTCCCCCCAACCCCACCCCCCCCCCCGGCGCACCACCACCACTGACCCAACCCCACAAAAAATACAACATAAGCCTGTGTTGGCTACAGATCCTACTCTTCAACCTTCATGGCCAAGATCATCTATTCATACAAGTTTCTCTCTAACTCTACACTTCTCTCTAGATATCTCAAAACTTTTATAATTATAAATGTGAAACTTCATTTTAAACAATCAAATGAGTTGATATGATCATATGTTATTTCGCAGATTTCCTAGGACTTAGATGTTCTTGAAAACCTCCTAAGGCTTGACATTAATAGGTCCTCCTTTGTAATAAACTGCAACTACTAAAAATCAATGAAATTTGAGTTCAAACCCTTTTTAAAGAGGAAAATCCCCAAAAAAATAAATAGAAAGATAGCAACAAAAAATAACTACCATAGCAAACATTACTTTTAGATATACGTCAAAGATTCCCACCCAATTTCTCAAGTAGCCACTACATGTAAAAAATTTCAAGGCCTTGCTTCCGGCATTGAAAAGGGTGCATTTTTTTGTTAGGAAAAACTTATGGAATCCTAATATTATGGGGTTTATGTGCAATATGGTTTCCTGAAATGTGATAATTTATGCAGACCAACTTGGCAGCTAATATCCACTTTGCTCAGCCTATTCCCACATAAGAATTTAGTCTCTCTAACTAATGGCAAAATGATACTATAGAAAGTATTTCAGCATTTTCTCATCTCCATCCCAGAAAAAAAAAAAAAAAAGCATGCACATGCAACCTCACAGTATTTAATTTTAGTAAAACGATCATGTGCATTAATCTTGAGTTATGAACTAATACGCACCGCCCCATAAGCCACACATTACTACGCGGAGATGCAAGAAAATAATGCTGATGGGTATAATTCCCGCCATTTCAAGAAAGAAAGGAAAAGTCATTTCGACAGTCATTTCCTCAATAATTTCTGTTAGTGTTTAGTATCCAGGAAGAGAAAACATTTGCATGACCAATCTGTAAGACATGCCGATACCAACAAATAATTATGCAGATAACATCCTCCAAAAACTAAAACAATAAAAAAAGTAAAAGGCACAATCAAATATATCGTATATACAAAATCTACTGAGCTGGTAATTTATTTTTTGTAAAAATCTAACCCAAAAACTCATTCATGGCCTTCGCCTTTGTTTTTATTTTTTTAATTTGTTCTTGGCCTTCCCCTTTGTAAATAACCGAAAACTTGAAAATTTAAGCAGAAAGCATATGTAGCAATTGTTTACCTTTTGTTCGATCTCAGGAACCTTCAGGACTTTCAAATTCACCTCCCTCTTTCTGCAACGCCAAAATTACATACATATATACATATACATAAACAGGAAATCAATTAAGTTGCAAACAAATTCGACTTATCTGAAAATAACACGAGAGAAAACAAAAAAAAAAAAAAGGAAAGAAAGTTGATGGAGCTCACATTTCACGAACAGTTTGATCGATGACCTTCATGAAATCCATGGTCGGATCTGGGAAAAAAAACGAAAAATGGAAACAACCAGATCGAAATGTGTGGACTAAATTGGTTGGTAAACAGATCAGAACATAAATTCGGAGTCGAAGCAGCTTTGCGTGGAGATGGAACGAAATTCTATGAATAGATTATGTTAGATCTCTCTGGGCTTGAGGAGGGGGACATAATTTAATGGATGGAGAATGAAGACGCTCGTGTGCGTTTGAGTAAAATTATCGCTTCCTCGTTTACCAGTATTGTTTTCTTTCTTTTTTTTTTTGTAAATTATACTTTTACCCTATCAAATATGAATTATTAAATTTTAGGATAAATTGCACTAGAAACCTCAAAAGTATGAATTTTGTTTCGTTTTGGTCTCCAATATTTTAATTATATCATTTTAGTCTCTAAAATATTAAATATATTTTTATGTAGTCCCTCAAACAGACAACATCCAGATCATTAACAGTTTTTTATTAAAAACTTATCACGTGATACCTAAATATGAGTAAAAAATAATTTGAATAACTCTTGACTAAAATTTGGGTAATTTTTAACCAAAAATGTGTAATGAGTAGTTATTGACCAAAAATTTGGATAATTCACGATCAAAACTATATAATTTATATAATTTTTTAATCAAAATTTGAGTAAAAATTTGGTCAAAAGTTATTTAAATATTACGTGACAAATTTATAATAAAAAATTACTAACAATCTTGGCTCTGCCTACTTGAGGAATCACATTGAAACATATTTATTACTTCAAGGACCAAATTGATGTGATTGAAATATTAGAGACCAAAATATGACAAATTTTATACTTTGAGAACTTTTTGTCCAATTAACTCTTAAATTTTTGACATTATCCCCTTAACTAATTTGATTATTTTATATTGCCCCAACCACAAATATCCGTCATCTTCTTGGATGGAAAATGATGATACATAGGGACAAAGTTAAAAAAATTACATGGTTTAGAGGCAAAATGAAATAGCTTTCAGTTAAATATGTAACCCACATTAATAATTGGCAAATGATATTTTACGCTTATACCCTCAAAAATTAAAATTCTCTATTATGCCTTTAATCAAACAAAAGGATAATAATGTGCTCCATTTTAAGAAAATGGAGCACCAAATTTTTTATAATAAAAAAATTAAAATTAAGTATTGTTTAAATAAATGTGTATAGAAATAAAATAATACGACAAAATACAATAAAAAAGTTGTCGAAAAGGCATTATATAATTTGTGTATATATGCATATATAATTTGTGGTTATGAAGTATAAAATGTTGGATTCAAGAAGTACAAATTATTGAAGTGACCCCTGTGACCGTGTGTTCATCAAATAAACATTATATTATACAAACACACAAACTTTAAAAGTGAATTTATATGGTATAATTGGTAGTGCCGGTACTAAAAATTATAATTTTTTACGGTTACGTTATAATTTTTTTGCGGTGTAAATTATAACTTCAAACGACATGATTGATTATAAAATGTTATGATCGACACCACATTTTTCATGTTCAATCATCGTTGTTTGTGATCGATCATGACTTCTCTTGAATAATTGTGACTTCTTTTTTCAAAATTGAAATTTGATCATATAAAATAATAACCGATAATACCGATACCCATTTTTTTTTCCGGTACTGTAGAGTTTCCCAACTTTAAATAATGTTTTCTCTTACGGATGCAACGTGACATAACTTATCATATCAATAATTTAAATATTATCAAAAGGCGATATTAAATGTATCTTAATATTTTCTTTTAAGTGAAATGTTGATGCAGGGAAATATATAAAAATAGGATTTAATTACAGGATTGAAAACAAAAAATCAGTATCATACTTCTATTTATCACATTTATGATAATTTTTATTATCATTATGAGTATTTTTTACCACTATTTGTGGTCCTCATGCTAAAAATAGTTATCAAAATTGTTGGTACAAATTCTTACACAACTGCCTAGTGGGTACCCATCCCTGAGGGGCTCAAGCTTATAAGGGGGTGGGAGAGATGACTCTCAGTCGACGTGGAACGAAGTTCCGCACGGGTACTGAGAGATAAAGACTATTGGGTGGTCGCTTTGTCACACGCCAGGTCAGCCGAAATTCTTGAATTGTGCAAGAATTTGTAGCAACAAAAATAATTTATTATCTGAGGACAATTGTCATTCAATTTAGAGAGATTGAATGACCCTTGTTTCATAGTCTAGGGTATAGTGTGTATTACTTGAGATAATTTTTTTTTATTACAAATTATTTAAGTTTACGCCAATTACGCTGTTGAATTTAAACACCGACGACTATTTGAATGAATTTAGAGCATATCGCTTGGAAAAAAAAACTCAGCTAAATTTGTTTCAAGGCATACGCTTTCTTCAGCTTTGAATTGTCCACCATGCAACTTCTGTGACATTGACCAGCAAGAAGCAAACTGGTATACGTACTAATGCCATGATCCCTCAAATCCGTGTCACACCATTCACCAAGTCAAAAAGTAAATAAACCACCTCCACACCACGTGTGGTTGAGAAATTGATTTTTTAGACGGGCTTAAATTGACTTTTCAGGTTAGTATATTTTACTAGTTAGATTAATTCATGTGATACTAATTTACGAGCCGACAGTCTATAAAAAATAAAATAATGATCGATAACTATACAATTATTTTTAAAGAATAAGAGAAAGGATATTAAATAATAAAGGTGTTATCTTTGGTTAATATATGAGTTAGGTGTTTTACGTTTGATTTATTATTTAGTCTAAAAATAAAATATTTATTTCAGTAAATTAAAGGTGAATGTTCCACTAACTTACCGAAAAGAAAATAGACTAAGATCATTATTCAAATTTTCAAATACCTAAGAGGGGGCAATGTAATAAATTAAATACAATTTATTTTTCTAATACAATAAATATGTAGTATTTCTTTAATATATGACCCCACTAGTAGCTCTGCCCATAGTCTAAGTAATGCTATTGGAATATAATTTGAAAACTTAATGATTATGATTATTAGATTGTCGGTGCGTCTCAACATTAAATTGTCATTGAATCCTAACACTATCAATTCAATGGTTATAATGTATTAAGTCTCTAAATTATGTCTCAATAGCATTAGTAGATTTAAAATGTACTACACTTTCTATACTTGGTTGTGATGTACACTATATATTATTACGTATCTGCTACCTTTGATCTATCTTTTGACTGAATTAACTATCCCCAAGCTACTAAGACAACTACAAAGAAATAATAGCTAAAACATCTACTCTAATACCTTCATACATGTGCTTGAACAATACATAAATATATTCCTATCAATTAAAGAACCAAAAGATCATATCCTGCTAGTGTCAGTGGGGGTTATTGACATTGAGTTAATCATAGTTGCATATGAAGAAGGGACATCTTGATCAAGGACTGTCTCTTGAGACCAAATGCTATTCATAAGATCATAAGGAAAACCATTGCCTAAATCCACTGATAACCCTTCATATCCACCAGCTCCATTACCAGAACATGACCCACAATTGTTGTACACAGCAAAGTGAACTAGAACCTGAAATGCTTGAACCTTCTTCTCGTGACCGTGAATTCCTTCCTAATTTGTCCATAATTCACATCAATTAGTGATGGCATTGTTGGTGAAGTACACTGAGATATCAAAGCTGAAAAACTCCGATAATAATCATATTATGCTTCAAATTCTGGTACCATAGCAAGATGTGTTGAGACATGAAGAATAAAATTCATTGTAGGGTTGTTACTGCTGTTATCATTCATGTTGCAGGTACGGTATTTTTTTTTTTTTCCAGCTAATAGCTGCTTCTTCAATTTGGTGTTCCAGTGAGTCTTCACGTCGTTTCTGTTCTTCCTGTCAGTTGAGCAGCTATGACAGACCTTTTATTGACAATCACAAATGGTAACATTTGTTATAAGTGCAAGTTCCATACTATTAATTACTGTACTAAAGAAAGCAAATAAATAAAAAAGGCAGTCCAATACGTGAGAGCTTATTTGGAAGGGTCAGAATCTACAGTTCCAAATGCGGAGAGATTGTTTATGCGACTCGAATCCTTTGTTAGGATCAAGCTCACCACTGCACTAAGACCAAGAACAGTACAGTGCTCTAACAAAACATAAATTTGTGTGCTTATCTAAATATCCTATTTTACTGTAGAGACTGCATATAATGCTGTCTTCCTCTTCAGTAAATCCTCCATGTTTGATGTCTGGCCTGAGGTAAATTAGCCATCTCAGACGGCAACTCCTGTGGCAACACCTGAGACCTGTGTCACATGAAATGAATAATCAGTGAGGAACATTAAGGAAGAAGAATGAATTGGTATATCTTTTATCAAGCAATTAAAAAGTACAATTTTGATTAGCTAGAATCAAGAACATTGACTAAGAACAAAAACTTGGGAGTGTTGTACACTCGCACGTGTGACTCTGTGTGTGTGTGTGAGAGAGAGAGAAAGGAACTAACCAGCTTTCTGAGGTAAGGCTATCCAATTGCCACCAGTGCAATGTTTCTGAAGGAAGTTCTTTTAGAGTTTCAACTTCTTCTTGAGACCAAGGTCCCCTTTTCACTTTAGTTTTGTCACAGCAAGGTGCTCTTCCCAT